TTTTTTTTTTTTTTTTTTTTTTTTTGTAGTGGTGATAATATGGAGGGGTGGGTGAAAGGAGATATTGGCAAATACAGCCCAACAAGTTTCTTTCCCAGTGGCTCCCTAAATCTGGTATTAGTAGAGGTAGTGAATTGCTTAGTTCAAGTTCTTAGGTTTTCCCTACATTCAAAATCTTATCTTCATACTTCTTTCTACAGCCATTATCTACAGACTTTTTCTACTGGCTTCCTAAAATACCATTTTTTGATGTAAGAAGCTGACATATTTAAGAATTAAAAATGATGTCTAGGAATATTATTTAGATTTTATATTACTAAAGCTATATGAGCACACAATAGTCTAAGAGTTCAAGATCTAAATACAAGATAATTAAGCTTTTTGTATTCTGTATAATTAATGAACTTCTGTGTTATCTTCAACAGACAAACAGCAGAAAGGTGAATTTGCAATAGAAGGCTATGATGCCAGAATGAATAACACCCTTAGGAAGGATGGAAAGAAAGATTGCTGTTTTGAAATCTGTGCTCCTGATAAACGTGTCTATCAGGTTGGAGTTTTTATGTTACCTTGAAATTAAGTTGATAAGATGTTCTGATTTCATTTATAGAGACATTAACATTTTGTTAAAACAGCTCTCCCTGACACGTTAATAATAATAATAACTCCTGGGTTTTATACATTGAACATTCATGTAAGAGGAAATATACTTTAAAAAAATTTCAGATTGGTTCAAATGATATCTTCTTGAAAAAGATCAAGTGAATATGTAACATATCAATTACTCCATATGTAGCATTTTATATCTATCTTAAAAGAAGTATGTGATTTCCTAGAAGAATTACATAGCAGAAAGAGTAAAATTATCAAAGGAAAAATATTAAAGTGTTAATGCATATTGTATTGCTTAGGGGTGCGGGAGAAAATGAAGATAAAGACATGGGTCAGCTCTGCAATTCAAGAGCTATCAGCTAGGCATCAATATGGAATGTATGTTTAATAAGTTTTAAATATCTGAGATTGCAGTTGAAAGCTAGTTAATTAAGTTGTCAGGTAGTGTGTTGGAATCTGACAAGAACATTTTTAAGAAAACTGTACCCAGCAATCTAAAGAAATTCATGGGTGTCTTCTAATTGTCAAGGGCAAATTTTGTTCATCAGTTCTGTCTTTGACATTGATGAAGAGAAGCAGCTTTTTTCCTGCACAGCTGCCAGCTGCTGATCAGAGTTTCAAATCCATCATCCTCTGCTTCAATTACATAAATTTGTCAAAATTAACTGTACATTATAAGAAGCATCCTTGCAAGGAAAGTACCTCTAGACATGAAAAGAATTGCTAATCGTCCCAAAGAAATGTTAAGAATGCAACATGCCTTTTATTTCTACTGTAGTGATTTTTATTCTTATTGTTGGTTTTTTATTATTACTAGTTCACAGCAGCTTCTCCTAAAGATGCAGAGGAATGGGTACAGCAGCTGAAATTTGTATTGCAAGGTAAGAGCATTAGTTGAATATGTACTCACAATTTTTTAGTATTCAATAACTGAGTAATTTTGGTTTTCGTATACAAGAACTTACTAACTTTTGTGAGAATAAGCAAAGAATATGATTGGTATTATGGAGGACATTCAATTCCAATTTATAAATGCATTTTTTCCATAAGTACCAGTTGGCAACTTTAAAATTCACACAATTTCAAATCAATTTTTAAAATATTTTAAATAAAAATATAGCACATAACAGTATTGTTGTTAGTTTTTTATTTAGGAAATACAATTTTTAAAGTCTTTTGCAATCTTTTAAAATTTGCTTTGTGACATGTATTCTGTAGATATGGAATCTGATATTATTCCTGAAGATGACGATGAAAGAGGAGACGTGTATGATGATGTTGATCATCCTGTAATAATCAGCAGCCCACCAACTATTCAGCTAATAGATGAGGAAATATATGAGGAGCTTCCAGGTATTTATGTTCTGGTGATTCATACGAAGATGCTCGTTTCTTTCTGTGGGCACACACCTCTGTATGTATGTGTATAATTCACCATCATGTTGACAACTTGAGTTGAAATGGTGAGCTATTAAGAGCAAGGACAAAGAAAACTTTCAGAACTCTATTTTGCAAAAAGTGTTCTGCTTGAAGTATTTCAAGTGAGTGGACTTACACTTAGGACAAGTGAATGGAATGTTCAAATGAAGCAGATACAGTCTTAATCTCTTGGGACGTTTGGCTCATTAGCATTGTTTATGCTACATAATTTTTTAATTAAAAAATTGACTTGCCTTACAGTTTTTTCCACCAACTCACACATCATTTTTTATTTACACATCTTGGAACTTCCATTAACCAGAAGTTCCATGCACACCCCATATGTCATCAACTTCTGCCTTCATGTTCTTCGTTACTGTGCATTGTCTTGGTGAACTGTTGTTGGACTATAAACAAAGGCCTTTGGAGACTTTGGGTCTTCTTATTGATATTTTAGCATGAAATTAAAACTTTTTTATTACAAATTTTTGGACTTGGTTTAGAGCTTACATGCTTCATTGTTGTCAGTTACAGCTACTTTTGAGTTTTGAGAATCAAGCTAAAGCAGAATGATAGGCATTTAGAATTTAGGATTCTTAGTATATAAAAATATTTAGAGAATTGTATTACTAGTACTCTAGATTAAAATGAACCTTTTCTTGTCTATTAGAAAATCAATAGTTAGAGAAGGAAAGGGGAGTATGGGCAATATGAGTGGGATTTTTTTTTTTTTTTTTTTTTTGGTAGTACCAGGGATTGAACTCAGGACCCTGTGCTTGCCCGGCAAGCACTTATTCTACTGAGCTATCTCTCTGGCCTTATAAGTGGGATTTAACTAACATGTAGAGAGACTAGTTTTCTCTGACTAGAATAATTTAATGGACTTAATATAAATTTAAAATTGATTTCAGAAATGCATACATTCTAAAGTAATGTACAAATGGCACTTTCAGCTCAGTCCGGAAACATAATAACTAGAACCTGGACTTTAGAGTAAAAATTTTAAAATTCTGAGTGGTATTATTCAGTAGTATTAGTTCAGTGATCTTATAATTTCTTCATCTGTAAAACAGGGGAAATTAGGTAATTTAACACAGTACTTGAATTTAACTCACAATAAATAATATTTTATTATATCTGGTGAACTCTTCAAATGCTTATATGATAGTACAGCATTGGTTTTCTAGCCAAGTAATAATAATTGTAGTTATTATAAATTCAAATATAAAAATTATACTGGAGTCTGTGAATTGTCTGTTAGTCACACTATACCATCAATAAAGTTATTTGAGGCTTTAAAGCATTTGAAACAATTCATGAGAAAACTAGACTGATGTAAAATGGAAGTATAGTACCTTTAAACATATTATTACTATTTACATTTTGTGTTGTATTACCACTATGGGAATTAATTATTAAGTTCTGTTTCTTCAACTTGACTATATTGTGCCCTACCACCCAAGGAAGAAAATGAGAATAAACATAAAATATTCATAGTTATCTCCTTAACAAAGACCCAAGAAAGATCTGTAAGTAGGTTGGCATTTAAAAAATATGAAACATCTTTCATTTTCTTTCACTACAGATGTTCTTCTTCTTCTTCTTTTTTTTTTTTTTTTTTTGGCCCGAGGCCACATAATTGCTGGAAATACTGGCTACTCTTTAAGCAGTGTTACTTCTTACTGTGGTAGTAGGAGAAATTTAAGCTGCTCTGGGATTTCTTTGTCCCTGCTGGAGATCCCCAGTTGCTGTATAGTGATTGAGCTTGATAGAGCCTGCAACAGTGCCCCTGGGAAGGGGGCTGTAGGCAGCTGTGGAATGTCTAGTGCTTCTTTCTTCCCCAGTGTAACTGAGAGCTACCTCAACATCTGCACAGTTCAGCAAGTCTGGGGAGTTTGAGCCAGCAGCCACAGAGGGGATTTTTCTAGTGAGGCCCTAAAGTAGTCTCAGAGTTGCAGGTTTTATTTACTTACATATTGAAAATAGGAAAGTAACTTTTTAAATTTAAAAATTGTCTTTCAGTATAAGAATTAAGCATATTGCTTTTGCTTCTGTGAAACTTGGATATAGTTTTGAGATGAGAGTGATGACAACAGTGGAAAGGAGCGCAATTGACATTTTTCCAGTTCTCGGGAGATGACTATGTATCTCTGAAATCTGACTGGTTAACTTTCCAGGATTAAATAATGCTGTTATTTAAGCATAATTTTCTGTCAATTTTATTGTTGAAAAATAATTCTCTTGGGCCAGCCAAATAGCTCAGCAGATGAAAGTGCCTGCAAGCAGGTGCATGGGCCAGGGGTTCAATCCCTGGTCCTGCTGTGCTGGCCCCACCCCTGGGGTACACTGAGATGGCAGTTGAGACTGGGCATGGTGGTGCGCGCCTATAATCCCAGTGCTTGGGAGGCTGTAAACAGGCGGGTCACTATGAGTCCAGTCTAGTAGTGAGACCCTGAACACCCTGTGGACCCTTCCCTAAAATAAAAAAAGTTAAATAAAAAACAATTCTCTTAAGCTAAGAAATGAGGCATACAGATGTATTTGAAAAAAAAAATCTATAAACACTTAACATGCTACTTTAAATCACAAAGCTCTTTTCCTGAGAAAGTCAAGTTCTTATTGTAATAAGTGTGTTTTTAATGTAAAATAAACCTGCCGTGTTTTAAGTCTCAGGAGTAAGAAGAAAACATTATTTAAAAATTATATTGTAAAATATTCTTTGAGAAAATGTTTATAACTCCATGGGAGTATAAATAGTTTGATTGTAATTGTTTTTCAATTAGAATATTCTGACTTTTTTACAGCAGCTTCACTTTAATTTCTTTTTTATTAATTTTTAAGTAACTTCATGAAAGAATAGTACATTTCTTGATTTCTTTGTGTTTAGGGTATTTATACATCTGTGCAGATGAGTCAAGGGAATTATATTTCAGTGTTAAAGGTATTTGGCTTTTCTTCAAAGACCATTAATGTTTTAACATCTTTTATATTTTATTACTTATTAGCATAGGCCAGTCAGGTTTGCATACATTATGCCTGTATAGCCTGGGTTTTTTTGCCCATCTAATATGTTAGTCAAAGTATATTAAACTGTTTTATAATGCAGTAATGAGTTCATTTGGCTTAGCATAAGTTCTAAAACATATTGGCCATTATTTTATAAGCACTGCAGAGGAATATTTTTGTCTGATTTTGAATCCTGAAAGCAAGAAACAATACTTGGAATATTGCTACAGAAACCAACGTAGTTTGCTCTTGCCTCTTAGTTATGAAGTCATTTGATTTATTTCATTTACTCATAGAAAATTATGCAGAAACAAAAACAACAAAATTGTCTTGCATGTAAAATCACCCTGAAAACAAGGACGGTGGCTGCCAATCAGCTTTCAGGGGAGTTCTACTTGACATGGACCAACCAGTGACTGGACCAGAAGAGAAAGGGACAACATAAAGCAGGAAGGCAGATTGCTGTTCCATTAACCTATTTTATATTTTATTTTATTTTTTTTCTTGTGGTACCAGGGATTGAACTCAGGACCCTGCATGTGCCAGGCAAGCGCTTATTCTACTGAGCTATCTCCCTGCCCTAACCTATTTTTTAAGAGTGAATTCATTTTTTAAAAATTTTCAGTGACAGATTCAACTATATTGAGCCAGAAAAGCATATTTTTAAATCTTTTTTTCTCATTTAGTTACTCTTAAATTTATTCAGTCCAACTATCTGGATTTATAACAAACTATGAAGTAAAATGCAGCTGTAAATTTTTCAGTGAAAACTATTCTGTACACATAAAAAACAACAGTTTTAAGTACTTAAACTTGAAGTAGTTTCCAGCAAATGGGCAAAAATGCAAATTTAATCAATTAAGTGATAACAAACCCACTAATATAATTCAGCCTTATTTTCCTCTTGAATTGTTGTCACTTATAATATGAAGTTCATAAAGGTAACAGAGGTCCTACAGTCTTTGGATATTAACATTGCCATAACAAGGGTAGGTGTTGATTTCAGTTTTTCTCATTTCTTTTTTGTGGAATGCAATGGAAAAATGTCAGTTAACGTTCATTGAACCACCTTATTCAACATTGTTAATCTACATAGCATTTTTTTCTTAAACTATGATACTTAAATTGTAAAGTTAGTGAGTATGATGTTGTATCCTAATTTGTAGTATTAAAAATGTTTTCCTAGCAGATAACTAGATTAGAGCCATATGTCTGGACAATCTCAGCTCTGCTGAGATTATCTGAAGTTATAAAAAAATGCATACATTAGGGTCACTGCTATTCACATTTTTATCTTTACTGAACATAGATATGTTTTTATGGCTCTTTATATTGTCTGTTTCAGAATATTATTCTATCATGTAGCCTTTTTGTACTTTTCCACTGACATTTCAAACAACTTCTTTAAGGAATGACTTGGAAGATAGCTCAGTGGTATAAGTGCCTGCCTGGCAAGTACAGGTTCCGAGTTCAGTCCCCAGTATTACATGCCATGCTGGCCCTGGAACCAAGCATGGTGGCACATAGCTGTAATCCCAGCACTGGGGAGGCTGAGACAGGAGGATCACTATGAGTTTAAATTGCATAGGAAGACCCTGTATCATAAAAGAGAGAGAGCAATGACTTAACACATATTAAATCATGAAATACCTATGTACATTCAAAATATGTATTTTTGGGTAGAGAGATAAAATGACCCATTTTTGCAGTGGACTTACATCAGAAAGAGAAACAAGAAAAAAAAAAAGGTAGCGAATATAAGAAATGGCAGCAAACATAGAAATAGGTAAAGTGTATGCAAGCAGCTTTACCTATTATTTTACAGTAAATTTTTCTTTTTTTTTTCCTCGAACGCCTTCAGGGCACTTTTGGCCAGCGGGAGAG